AAAAAAAAAAAAAATTATTTTGATTTATTTTATTTTTGGAACTCTTTTTACTCTTTTTTTTTTCATAGCGTACGGCCTAACTAAAGTGTATTTGGAATTGTCATGTGTTTTCGGACCAAATTGAAATTTAAATCATATATATTATAATATATAATTAATAAAAAAAATTGTGTTAATTAATTAATATTAATGTTGTTGATGAATTTTAATATGATGATATATTTATTAGGGCATGGACAGAATATAGCGAGTGCATGAGCATGAAGAAGAACGAACACTTAGGGGTATCGGCCGTGAAGATGAAGAAGATGAAGACGAGGAAAAGGGTTAGAGAGCCGAGGTTTTGCTTTAAGACGATGAGTGACGTGGACATTCTCGACGACGGCTATAAATGGAGAAAATACGGACAGAAAGTTGTTAAGGACACACAACATCCTAGGTAAGATCCAATTTTTTCTTTTTCTTTTCAAGAATCATATATAATATCTGAGCTCGATTAGTTGTAATTAAGTTCGATTTGGCTATTTTAATTCGATTATTACGTTCGTTTATTGAGATAGCTAGTAATTAATTAATTCGATTATTGTTCTCCATTATTAATCCCTTGATATCATGATCAGCTCGATCAATCGGTTGCTATTAGTCTTAAAACTTTTCCAACAATTAGTACGAAAAAATATAAAGGCAAAAAGTGAACTATTAATGCATAATGTCGATCTAAAAACTCTTTTGAATATGATCAAAATCCCTATAGTAAATGCCAAAAAAAAAAAAAAATTAAAATTATAATTATAATAGTAACAATAATAAAAGAGTAGTTATAATAATTATCATTGGATTTAATTTACCTTATAGTATATTGATATATTGGCATGAGGATCTACTTAGGGAGGATACCCTTTTTCATGATATTATTACTTTAGGGTTGAAAATAAAAAACAAAAAATAAAGGCAAATCAAACTTTTTATTGACAAATGATTACAAATCTGGGTTTTCTTTTTCAAGAGCCATATTAATTAATAACCAAAATGTGCAGACTTTATATGAATGATCCAAATTGAAGAGAGCCCACAGCTCTCTGCCTAAAAAGGTTTATATTCATGTGTTTTTTCGATCATGATTTCCAGCAATTTGCCAGTTTGCAAATGCATGCCACCATTCATCGATGTTTTTTTAACAATGGCCTACCATGACCAGCT